GTTTCGAGGGGCCTCCTTTTCCTGAATTCGTGTATTTTTCGGTCAATTCTGTGAAACCTGTTATTCAAAGTGGAGCAATGGGAAACACGCTTTTAGAAAAAAAATTGAAATTTCATGGACCTCATCTTTCGGGCAAGTGTAAAGTTTCTTGGCGTAAGATTTTTTTTGTTTATGTGAAATATTGGGCGCTTGGTAATTTTCGAGACGTGAATTTCTTGATAGAAACAAAGACGTACCTCTCAAAAAACTCTTGTCTTGTCAGTGTATATTTACCGAAATTGCCTTGATTTCTGATTATTTTCAGTGAATAATTGAATTCAAATTTAGAGTGTCTATTGATTTTTTCGAATTAAGGCCCGGGTGGATTATCTTTCGAACTTGATCTTGGTTGTTTTTATTTATTCTGATGATCTGAAATGATCTCCAATTGCTATTCAGTTTTACATAGCCCTGGAGTCTCCAAAAATTATGATTGTACAATCAAAAAACGTTGAAAAAGCGTTTTTGAATAATCTTGGGAAATATACCCAATATAGGGAGAAAATTGAAAATTAATAATTTGATGTATCTCATGGCTGTTAGATCGTCATTTGTCACAGCAGTCAATGGCTGTCACATCGTTAGTTATCATGATAAATTATCCATTCGCTATTTCCTCTCCTATCAGACTTATTTCTTAATCTTTATTAAAAACGCTCTTTGAAAACGTTTAGTTTTGTGTCCTACTTTTTTTGATTGTGCAATCATAATTTTTAGGGACTCCTGAGTGTGTAAAATCCAATGGAAATTGTGATATAGTTTACATTATGAAGATGGAAAATCAATGGAAATAATGTTCGAAAGTCAATTTTCAATAACGAACTTCTTTGAAATTAGTGAAACTGTCACTTTATAAAAATTTCCAAAGAGTGTACTGGTATAACATTTCTTGGGACATATTATTTTATCTAACAAAGGAAATAGCCATGAGAAAGTGGAACCAATAATATATCCGTTTAGGAAATGAGCGAATTTAATCATTGTCTCTTGCATAGACTTTAAATCTGTTGGAATATTTCTACTCCACCTTTACACATGAAAAAATCCAATAGAAAACCTAACGAATTCGCTAGAAAATTCTATTGGAATTCTACAGGAATTCTATGGCTTTTCTATAGGATTTCTATTGGAATTCTATTGAAAAATTTTATTTGTTTTTTGCGCTGATTCTATTGGATATTTCATAAGAAAAAGTCAATAGATTTCGAATTTCTGTTTGGAATTTTCTCTTGAGATTTTTTCTATAAGAATGCTTGGGCATCAATTTTCTAATTTTTTCCCACTCGCATTCTGTAATGCAAAATAAACCAAAATCCAGCGGAAAAAACTTGGAAAATTTGGGCCCAATAATTCTTAATAGAAAAAATCTCGAGAAAAATTTCAACAGAAATTCGAAATCTATTGACTTTTTCTTATCGAATATCTAATTGAATCAATGCAAAAAACAAATAGAATTTTTTAATAGAATTCCAATAGAAATCTTATAGGAACCTCATAGAATTCTAATAGAATTTTCTAGCGAATTCGCTAGGTTTTCTACTCCTCTTCTGAAATCGATTTGATGCCACTAGATTTTTCATTAGCTCACCTGAAACATCTCCAAGCATCAAAGTAGTATAATACGCCCTAGTACCGTAATCCCCATAAAAATCTAGTATTTCATCAGGGCACATAGTCGCAAATATTTCGGTATGTTTCTCTATCCTTACGAGCGCGGAGGCTCGTTTCCTCCTCACACTTGTACGTGCATCATTAGCCACTTGAAAATTCAAAGAATATGGAAATATATCTGTGTTGGAATAAAAGACCGAAAGAATAACAAAACTTACTCCTATTTCGTCATTCTCAGCTGCGCCTCTCAAGGATGAACGATAATGATTGCAAATACATTTTAAAAGGTCAGAAATTTTGATACAAGATGTCAGAAGGGTTGGCCAATTTGATCAAGACTACTTTTTGAAGAATATCTCGGTATTAATGGACAATTATACATTCACAGATTTCTTTTTTTAGTTTTGATCTTGTTCTGCAAAATTATTGGATATTTGTTGAACGTTTCTTTAGGTAGTAACGAGAGGAGTATGTTTTGCAAATGACGTATGCGCAGTGCAGGGAATTCCGCAGCAAAACGTCTCCCGATCGTTGTTTTGCAGAGAAACATGGGAGAAACATCCGATTGGTTTTGAAGATCGAGATTCGGTGGGTTATTTTTTAGATTCGTATCTGATCGAAAACTGAGTCATCTGGATATCTCACTGTATTATCTGTATTATCGGGATTTGTCACTTTTCATCACAATGTTTGACAGCTTGTTGATTGAGAAAAAACAATTGCAAAGCTTTAACATTATCGGGCATTTCCCGATTGGTTCATTGCAAAGAAACGAAGGAGTCACTCTTTCCGCCAAAATTCACGTTTTTTTCATTTTTCTCGAAAATTATTGATCGAATTGACGCGAAATAATATACCGTTTTTGCGTTTTATCATTATTGACTAACTCACGAAGTTTCATGGTAGTGCAATCTTTTTCCTGCATTTTTTCTAAAGTTTTGTGAATTCCCGAAAAGTTCTAGAAAAAACGCAGGAAAATAATTGCACGATCATGAAATTTGGTGAGTCATTAAGTAATAATAAAACGCAAAAACGATATATTTTTTCACGTCAATTCGATCAACAATTTACCAGAAAAATTCAAAAAACGTGAATTTTGGTGAAAAGGGTGGAATACATCCTTAAGTTTTTCATGTTTAAAAATCACGAGTGGTGTGAATGTTGCAACCGCCAGAGAATCAAAATGTATGAGCGTCTAATTTCGTCAGGTTTTTTCTCTCCCTACCACGTTAATTTCTTCCTCAAAAATATCAATGTTAGTGCTCTAAATATCATCACTGATTTTCTATGATTTTTGGACTCAAAATCTGACTATTTTCTTTGTTTCTTCCGCTTTTTTAAATGTAATTACTTTATCTGTGCACACACTTGTATCATGTAAATGTATACCTCAGTAACTGTGTATTTTCCATCTAATATCCTATTTTTAAAAAAATTATTTAAGCAGAATAAACCAACGGTTTGGATGCAATAAAATTTTTAAAAATCACGAGTGCAAAGCACGAGTTTTCTTTATATGACTTCATTTGTGTGCAGGGAATTTCTCCATCCAAATGAATGAATGAATAAAGATATAATCTAAAAACGAAAGTTGACAAAAAAATAATTTTGTATAAATATAAGATGTATGTATTTTCCTGATTTCCATGTATCTGATATCTCTATACACTGAGAGAAAAACAAACACGCTGTCAAACAAGTCTTGTTTGGCCCAACAAAATCGATAGTTGAAAATTTCCAAAAAAGAATTTGTTTGGTTCGAATTTGAAAGTGTCAAACATGAATAATTGTTCTGCTTTCGACAGCAACGAAATATTTGGGTCAAGAGGCGGATAATTCACAACAGACCACGTATGAAAAAATTCAATAGGCTTATCCTATAGGACTTCCTATAGGAATTGAGCCATATGAAGTCTTTTATAGGGATTCGAATTTTTGGCTCAATTCCCATAGACATCTCCCATAGACATCTCCCCGATAGAAATCCCATGGTTATTCATGGAACAATTTCTATAAACAATCAAATTCCCATGAACAGATTCCCTATAAACGAATTGCTATGGCCCAGTTCCCATAGTCATCTTTCCTATAGATATTCCATGGTTATTTAAACAATGTTCTCCCTGAATAAAAAATCCTATAAGTCATCCTACAAAGAATCCTCTATAGATCTTTCATCTATAGGAAATCTTAATTCCCGCAGACTTGGGAACGAAATCCTATAGAAAGTGTTTCAATTCTCCATAGAATTGTTCTATAGGCAAACCTATAGGAAATCCTATAGGAAGTCCTATAGGATAAGCCTATTGAATTATTTCATACGTGACGGTACCTTTTCAAGATGTAAATATCTCATGCAGAGGAAAATTTATCAACAAATATTTTACCTCTAAGTCACAAGATTGCTATCATATCATTATTATTGTTTCATTTAAGAGTTCATTTTGTGTCTGTAATTATTAGACAGCCGAAACGAAAAACTACTATTCCTTGTTTCAAATAAAACAAAGATTTTTCGGGAGCAAAATACGTATGGGAGTATGGAATAATAAAGGAGTAGTGCTAGAAATGACATTTCTTGCGTGTACAGAGAATGCAATTGTTTTTCAACCACTAAATCTATTTTTGCGACAACAATGTTTCATTCCGGCGCACTCTCTGCATGTTTGGCACAAAAAAATCCTTTTTTGAAAATTTTCAAAAAACTATTTTCTTGGCACAAATAAGACTTGTTTCAGAACTTTGTCGTTTTTCTCTCAGTGTACAATCGATGCTTTCTCCACTCTGTAAGGGAAGTTTCCCACAGATTTGTCTTTAATAAATTGATTTGAATTGAAATTGAATAGCGGAATAAGCGTTACTTGGAATAAGCGAACAAATTTATAAATTTCTAACAACGAATTTTTTGAAATAAGTAAAAAAAATTGCAAACAAAGAGTTATAATTGAATCAAATGACCGATTTTCTGGGTGTGCGCCGCGTCACAATATACAATCGATGTTTTGTGAACATTCCATTCTGTTGTTATCTTTATATCTTTAGACAAAAATTATAACTATCATATGGGGATTTTTTTTGAAAGGCTTTTGAGTTCAAATTTGAGACACAATTCAAACATAAATGCATTCATTTACACGAGCACTTCACTATTATAATACATTGAATGTACAATATTCATTGGAAACACTGAATTTATGTTCTTACAAATAGAATATTCCAAGTTATTCTCCTACAATAAAGGTAATAGAACTCTATATTCGGAATTTCTCGATATTACACATATAGCAAGGGAAAATGGTGACAAGAACCGTTATTTGCTCTCCCATAAATTGAATGAATATTAAATTACTTCACAAATCGTCCTCAATTTTCCGAAGTATAACACGTAGTGTTGTGAAAAAAGAATATGTGCTTGATATATACTGGAACAAGAAAAGAATATTATCCATCAGATTACTCATTTCCTTACTTTTTATGAAATCCTGAGCGTGAAATTTAGCCTACCGTTGCATACCAGCTCATGGATAATTTCGGCAACAATCCGCTGATGGCAATTACCGGCGGGTTTTGACATCTCTGCATCACGAAAATGGCAGCCCTGTTCAATTCTTTTGAATTTTGCAGCCACGGAGAGTTGTACAGCTCCCAACCGACATCTTCGCACTGAGTAATTATACCAAAAGTGAATGGACGACATTCTGGAGCGAATCGGCTACTCTACTGGGTAAGGGTGACAAGTTTAAGAGGGGTCCCATGGTAACTTGTCACTAATGACATTGTGCTTTAACCCTAGATTGGTCACCATATGAAGGAAACCCCGCCGCGCGTCGTTTTTCTTTAATTACAATTTAATGGCTAGCCGAGAAAGTTAAAAAAATTTGACTTCGTCAACTGAAGTGTCTAACGAATTATAGTAATTTTTTAAAACAACATATTGGCCGAAATTCCTAAAGAAAACGAATTATTTCCAACGGATGAATTCTTTTTTCCCATGTTAACCTCCTGAACTGGCGCTCGCCCACCGGCCGAGTCAACTGACTCGGTTAGCACAGCACCGCCCGTATTATTTTACCATTTGTGAAAAAAAAGTTTGAAAAAAAATGATTAATTTTGGGTTCAGCGGAAGATTTAAATTTCTAATGAATAGGAAATGGTGATAGAACCAGGAAAAATTTTCAAAGTTTTCTGGTACTCAATCAATGCGAATATAAATGCAATAAAAATTGCCAGAAAATTCAATACAGTCAAAAGTAGGCATTGTAATTTTTTCAGATTTTTATTGCATCTCATTTCGTTGAAAAAAGAAAAATTCAAAACGAGCGGCGCGGTGCTCATTGAGCCAGTTCAGGAGGGTTAAATGCAATTGCCCATGATGCGACGTTGCCGGAAACTCGCTAAAAGCGCCCGGGCAGTGTAGAGTGAATTCGGCAATGCTGGAGCCTAAATAATACGGCGGGGAATCCCCGTGGAGGTGACCAGAGTCGCAGGGTCGCGTTTGGTGACTAGACTAGAGTTAAGAATATTTGTATTGCCGGGGTCATGCTGTTTTCACGTTTTTTTTAGATTTCTGGAGAAATATTTATCTAGCGATGCTGCAAAAATCGATAATATTGACACGCAACGGGAAACGCTGTCGATAACTGAGATTATAAATGATCTTTCATTATGACGTCAAAACGATACGATACAATATTGAGTCACGACATCCATACGAGAATCGAGAATTTCGTTAGAATTTTTCTGTCCGCTTTTGTGAGAATTATGAATTGCTCCTTCCCCCACCCCCCACCTTCCATCCGCTCCAGATGATAGACCGATTCATTCATTTCAAACGAGATTCGTTAACTATTAATGAATGGTAGAGTTGAATATGACCAAAATAAATAAATAAAAATAAAATTAAATATTCGGTTATAATACCCCGAGAGCTTCAAAATGATCGGGTATTTCCTGATAACTTCGTTGCATACAAACGATTATTTCCCCCATCATGCTTCCGAACAATAGAATTGCAAAATTCGATGTCCCGTGATCCAATCAGAACAGAATTATATCGATAATACCCCGTCGTTCAGTAATTTTCCCGTTGCCAAGCAGAATAACGAAAAATTGTCGAATTTACCACGATAACGCCGAATACCACAATTCTATTTATCGAAATGGTGATGGGGGAAATAATCCGCCGAATATCCCTCGAGCTTCAAAATGAATCGGAGTATTTCCCTCAACCTTCTCTGCATACAAACGAATGTGTCAAATTTCGCAGTTTAAAAAAATCCCGAGCGCTTGCGCGAAGGATTTTTCCTGCGAAACTTGACATATTCGTTAATATTATAGTTAACGAATGGTTCACTTGAAAGGTGAAAGTCGAGTCAAACAAAGCTCCCCAAATGTGCATTTGTTGACTATTAACAAATCGGTTTGGTGAGACCGAATAGACCCTAGACTTCAACCAAATCCATTCGTTAACAATAACTAATCCTTTCTATCAGAGCACTTTTCTTTTCTACCGTTCAGGTACAGAAAGCCATAAAAATAATTCCTTAATGATGAAACTTTGAAATCTTTAAATGATGATGAAATCCAAAGTAGCACATTTTCTTACGTGAATCCAATCAATGATTTTCCAGGAAATGAAAAAAAGTAAAAATTCGCTAAATCTAGCAATACATCATAGCAGACATAATTGTACGAAGTCCATAAATTCTTTGTATATAGTTTGAAGCAAAAAAGCGAATATATGAACTGACTGTTAAAGTGAAATCAATGCAATTAGGTAAAAAATCATGAGTTACCGCTGTAGTTAAACTCTCTGCAGCCCATGCAACACAAAGGAGTTCTATCGAGTATGCAACTACAATCACCACAAACTGCATTTTTTCAACGATTGGTCCATTCTGTGGGAAGTAAAACCATTGAGTCTCGAATGGTGATCATTCATTCCATAGACTTACACCAACTATGGTGATTTCGCCACACAGGATGGTTAACGTAGCCATTGCAACTGTCGTCAAAACCACGGGTCGGACGGTTTTGATGGATTCATCGATATACCTGTAAAATGAGCAGTGTAAGCGGTCTCCTCAGTAGATTTTGTAAAACAATGAAAAATCTCTGCCAAAATTGTCTCCACGCATACATCTACAGAAGATATTGAGTTAGTGGGCCACCAGTCCGGGAAATTTTGCCATTTTTCAAATATTAAATGGCATATTGTGTGTCAAAAAATGAGACACTGCATAGTTTTATTTGTAAACTAATTGGAATAAAAAAAGTATTAATTACCAAAGTATATGATGATGTATGTTAATGTACTCTTTCAGTTCTTGAGCGCTGCTGACTTTTTTCATTTTTCCAGCGAGAATTTCAAGTTGTATTGTTCCATACCAAAGGAGGAGACTCACTTGACAAATAAAAGCGGTAGAACAATAACATTGAATAACTCCTATGCTTTCCCATAAATAGACAATATCGTAAGTAGGATGTTCATCCACGGCAAATGGATACTCCAATTTATTCGGTAATGACCGCTCAAGTGTGACAGGACCCAGTATGTAACCCAGCGATGCACTGATAGCGAGGATATTATAGCTGAGGTGAAAAGGAGCTACTCGTTTTACACACCTTGAAAGTACTTCCCGTTCATGAGCGTTGGCATTCAACATGAAGGACTCGATCTCTTCAATTAAATACTGTAAATCGAACGAAAAGAGGAACTTCGACGACTGAACACGGTGAATCGATGGATTGTTACATATGAGTGATTTCAGCAATTGAACACCGCCGCCTGCGGCGATATTTGGCCCTATTTTTACGGAAAAACCTATGAGAGATTCTCTCATCGCGCGCCTCAAGAATTCTAGTGGAATCGCGCGTCTACTCACGTATGAAAAAATCGTATAGAAAGTTTCTATACGATTTTTTCCTACGTGCTGTAACGCAGCACTTCACGAAAAATCGTTTTTTACTGTTTGAATCTAGTAATCGAAATCAAACCTGCCACACTCAAAATTTACGCTTCAACATAGTAAAAGTTACGAGTTGGTTTAGTAGAAGGTAGTAGAATAAAAGTAAAATTTAATTTCACACAAGTAAAAATTTGGTTAATATGAATCAAACGTTAAAGTTGTTCCGATATAGTCCTCGATTACTAGGTTCACGTTGTAATTTTTTATTTTATATTATCTCCCTGTAGCTTCTCGAATCAACATACTTATTTTAAAAAACTCATGGTTCTACACCGCATTGTGCAAAAAATAAGAAACTTGTTACTGACAGCCCATTCATTTTACGTGAGCAACGTTTTCAGATTAAGAACCATTGAATTTTGCAATCAACAATCACTGAGTTCTTAAATAAAGGAAGAATGAATTACTTCTTCAGACCACTGCTCACCTGAAACCGATGATGATGATGTTTCCCAATAATCATTCTAAAAACGACTTGGACCATGCTGAATGTGTCGAATAAGTTATGAATGAGTTGCATAAAACTGTTTCGTACTCTACATGCTGTGTAAAATGATAGCATGATCTGTAATGCGGCAACAGTCAAGAAAACCCACCACCCGATTTTCAGAATGATTACTATGGTTCGTGTTGCTTTCGGACTCTCTGGCCACGTGAATAGAATCCCAGTTGTTGATTTAGTCCATTGGATTGCAAACTCCGGGGTCGACCGTTTACCCATCGCGATGCGGCGGAAGATTTGAATTGAGTCACAAATCAATTATGCAACGAGCTGAGTATATTTATGCCGATACCTTTGAAATAGTATATTATGTCATCAGGCGATAAAAGGATTATTCGACGAATGTGACTGATTACAATCACACAAGTCAGATAATAATACTTTTGTCGCCTTGTGAAATACAATATTTCATGTCATTGGGCCCGAAAACCGCGACCTACACCGAAGAATTGCGGTTTATTGGGCCTAATAACATAGAATATGATGCACTGATAGAAAAAATCTCTGACACGTAGAGTACAAGTTCTTGGCTCAAGAAACTACATCATTCGCGCCGTTTTAACTGAATGAATTCTTCATGACTTTGGATCAAAGAAATAGGGGAACTTGGCATAAAGTATTAAATATTAGACGGAAAGAGCAGGAAGTTTCGCGTGCATCATAATGCTTTCCATATTAGATCAGACTCGCTGGCAAGAATCTCTTGGCGGAAAGTAATCTTGCTTACATTTAATATCAATCTGATGAAGTTTCTATTCTCTTGTGTGAAGAATTCGTACTTTTCGCTATAGATAATTCTGTTTTTCATGATTTTCGACAGAGGTGATAGGGTTTCCAATCAAGTAAATCGGTCCTAAGGGCACACATCTTCCTCTCAGAATATACTTCAATTAGGTGAAACTAAGAATCTCTTGTATCAAGAGATTCATGGTCAAAACCCCATTCTCTTGTCTCAAGAAACCACTTCTGTCGTGTCAGAGATTTTTTCTATCAGTGTGCATCATGACCAAAAATTAGTGATGTACCACTGTGGTTTCAATCGCTAAGACATTTAGCTAGTAGAGTACCTCAACTGAGTGGCGGTTAGATTACACCGAAACTCACGATATGTTATGATGTAAGAAAAGGATATTCCGGTGAAGGTGAAGTTACTAAGCTCTTAATTATTCATTTAGCTATTCATTCATTGATTTACAGCTAATGAAGACCTTTACTGGAAGGAGACTTTGTCACGCACACTGGGAAAAACAAGTTTTTTGAGAAGTACGTGTTTACTTGTATCAAGAAACTTCTGCCTCGAAAATTGAAAAGAAGAAAATATCTCATAGTGAGAAAAGATAACTTTCGTCACGAGATTTTGTACTTGTCAACATAATAGGGGAGGGTAGGGCAAAACGGACCGCAGGGTAAAACGGACCACTGATAAAAAATTGGTAATTTTCATTTTTTTTCTCTCTCCTTTAAATCAGGGACACTGAATGTGTTGAATTAAAAGTGAGTTTCTGAGATCGTAACCGTCGCAGGGGTTTTATAGACGAGAAGTGTCGTTGAACCGCAATTTGATCAGATTTGCTAATCATCTCAAACCACAAATGACTTTGAAAAACCAATATTTCTTAGGAATCTGTGTGTCTAAAGGCAAAACGGATATGTTTATATTTATTTCTCGTCTAAACAAGGAGCGCGGCAGAAGCCATTTGACGGATTACATATGACAGCTACTCTATTTCTATTTCTATTTATTGCCATATGTACCCTATTCGGATTTTTACATGTTTTGCGGTTTCATGGGCCGACTTCCTCTCCAACCGTGTCGCATTGTACCCCAAGGAGCTGTACCCCACGTACAGACTCTCCTGGTGAACAAGGGAAACCATGGAAAACCTTGGTCGACACGGGCGTCCATCGACCGAGCTTCATCGGAGAATGTTTTCCTAACCCTTCTCCGATGATTCTCGGTGTCTAGACTTCCGTTCGACAGTTTCCGAAAGATTAAAAATCGCAATTGCCCCAAACCGGACTCGAAACCCGCGCCTCACGGGTCCCGCTGTCCGGCCGAACGATTTAACCGCTTCGGCCACCGTCGCCGGTCCATGACAGCTACTCTCGTATTTTCTTTTCTCGTATTTTCATTTCTACCAATTTCAGTGGTAGTAGGCTTCCGAATGGTTCCAAATGCTTGTTTCCAAAAAATTAAACCCTATATTCATGCCATATGGTCTAATCCATATTCTCAGTTATCCTGATGTGAAAATGAAAAGTGAAATATAGATGCGTCAATTTTTTTTCGCAAGAATTTTGAGTGAATTGTTCCATCTTAAGAACTATCAAATATATCGACCTAAAATTTGAGATAGGAATATTCCTTGATAATCCTAACTAGATTCCAAAGTTTGAAAAGGTTTCCCTGACTTTCACCCATGTCGTAGTGCGCAAAATTGAATTCTGATAAAAAAAATACAAAACCGACGATATCTTGAAAAATTTTTATGGGACGGCATGCTTCATGACATTTCTAGGCATTTTCACCCAAAATTAAGGAATTGAAAGAAAAACACGATTACAAAGCTTCCATGCGGAAGCAAAAACAAAAATTATCAATTTTCTGTCAGTGGTCCATTTTGCCCTAGGGGTCCGTTTTACCCTGCGGTACATTTTGCCCGCCTGGCCCGTTTTGCCCTACCCTCCCCTAAGAAAGAGACTTCTCGAACCAAGTCAAGTTGTTTTTCCATTAAAACATTTTGAATTTAAGACTTACAAACTATTGATTAAATTGATTCAACAAGATTTGGTTTAAGAAATCACATTCTTGTCATAAACAAATTATCCCCGTCCTTGGGACAAACTTCCGTCATCCCATCAGTTTGATAATTTACTCGACCATGGTAACAAAATAACATTGGTGAGAAGGTATCATGTGACCCTGAATAAATCACAAAAAGACGTCACTCTGATCAAAATTTGAATTAAAGATGATATATTTAGGTCAGGCACTGACGTATATGAATGATTATAATAGGCAATCATAATTAGACAAGCATAGTAAACTATTTGAGTATTCTAATTAAATTGTAATACATGACAGTGTTTCATATTACCGTTTTCATTAACACTCTTTCGTGACGAAACAAACTGCGCCTAGAATAAGCAAGGTTTATATTTTATGTACTGGCCCATCATTTTGACATGAGATATTATACAATGTGTGTACGAAGCCAGATAATCAATGTTCTCACTCTATTTATTAATCGGTAGAATCAGGTTGTCAAAAACTGCATAAATTTTATAGTAACGTACGGGACATATCACATTCACAGCGAGATTTCTGATTCCAGACACAGAATTTGAATCCATCTTTCAGAATACCAGGCGGAATCGGCGAAAGTTTTTTTCGTCATTGAGAAGCAGCTGGTTTGAACCCCAGAACACACGGACGAAAAAGTTTAATAGAAAAACCTATCGAATTCGTTAGAAAATTCTATTGAATTTCTACTGAACTGTTCTATTAGTTTTTGGCCTATTCTATTGAAATATTTAATAGAAAATATTCCGTAGAAAAAGTCAATAGAATTCAATTTTTCTATATAACTTATTCTATTGAGATATTTTCTATAGAATTTCCCGACTCAAATTTTCTAAGTTTTTTCGTTTGATTTTCTTGATGACAAGAAAAGAAAAATAGAGTGAAAAAAACTTAGAAAATTTGAGTCGAGCAAATTCTATTAAATATATGAAAAGAATAAGTTGTATAGAAAAATCGAATTCTGTTGACTTTTTCTATTGAACATGTCAATAGAATCAGCCAAAAATTGATAGACAGTTCAATAGAAATTCAATAGAATTTTCTAACGAATTCGATAGGTTTTTCTATTACATTTTTTCGTGCGTGCATCTCAAGAATAAAATAATATTTGGTGAAGTTATTTCTGACGGGGTTTTTTAAAACATGCAGCCCGTTAAAATTGGAGCCAAATAGAGCAAACAAGAATGGATAATGCGCAAAATTTTGATGGCATTTCAATTGATGATAATGCTATGACACGAAAAAATCGAAGAAGAGAACAGTGAAATAAGAATTACAAAAAGAGAACCATTCGGAAGCGAATTGCTAATTTATTAGCGATAATTATACTCATTTATAAAAAATGCAATTGTCCACTTGTTTTCATCTGGATTTAAAGGTAATAATCCATATAGAAATCAAAATTTTTGGTATGGAGTACTGTGTTTACGACACAGAACTGGTTGAGAGGACAATTTGACCAACTTAAACTAGTTTCATATAATTCCGTGATCTGTGCCCATTTGTCGGTTGATGTCGAGGGGCTAGTCACTTAGGAAATCACTGGACCACGCGACTGGAAATTAAGGAAGAAATCACCAGAAATCAATGGAAATCACTGGAAATCAAGTGATTTCCGAAATCATGAGAAATCATCGATAAGTGTAAAATCGAAATTGATTTTGCAGTTTCAACTCTACAATTTTTGTTATGATATCTGTGCGGTCGAAATCACCCAATCCCGGAATGTGACGCTATGAAGTTTTTGACATCCTTACACGGAGAGAAATATTCGATAAAAATGACGTATCTTTCCCGTAATTCCGGAGCGTCCCGTAATTTTTATCTGAATCTCCTGTGAAAAACTACGATACCGTCACTTAAATTTTCTGAGTCGATTCCATAATCGGTGAGCGAATTGTGAGTTCCGTAATTTTTACTGAACATTTCTCTCCGTGTACGTATTGTAACGTCATGTAGAAAACTGCCATTATCGACAGATGTCCTATTCTGGTCCCGAAATCATGATTTCTCCAGTGATTTCTGGAAATCAAGAAATCATTGGAATCTAATAGAAATCATGGAAATCACAAGAAATTAAAAGAAATCATGATTTCTAATGTTGATTGAGAAATCACAAAAATCGTTCGAAAAATCACAGAAATCAACAGGAAATCACAGGAAATCATCTGATTCTGGAAATCACTGAGTCACTCGATTGAGGAGTAACCAGCCCCTCGGTTGATGTTAGATCGTAGTGCGAGATGAAGTTCATATCTCTCTCAATGCTATGTATCAGATCACAAAAACTGTTCCCCTGATGACAGTCACTGTCACACATGATCGTCTGTCATGTTTGACCGTTGTGACTACTCTCTGGTCTCCCTAGTTTGACTCTTGACCCCTCAAGTGCAGAGCCCTTTATTCTTATGATAATTGGGACTACAATTTTTTATGAATTTTTCACTCACGAAGTTTTTGTGTGAAAAAAAAGTGGAAGTCTTTCCGTGTGAAATAATCCCGTGACATGATTCGGCGCGTTGCGACACGGTACCGTACTTTTCATTTCTAGTTAGAATAAAAGTAAATCTTCTCTAATCAGGGGCTTCGGCCGTAGTTGTAATATACAGGATATGCTTTTAGATAAAGTCAGTGAGACTTGCAATTTTTTTCATATTTTTGACCATTATCAAAAATTCCATGGGATTTTACTCCGAAGGAGAGATTTCATAAATAAATAATCCCTCGGCCATATCTGTTGGCTCTCATCATCATTTCTTCGCGTTTCATACCATTCTACATCATTTCCCGGCAAAATTAGAGAATGTAACAATCCAACAAATACCATGCTTCCATTCAGAAGCAAAAACACAGGACGGGACAAGTGGATAAGGGAAAATAAACAAATAATCAATGACAATAGACAATATGTGTTTATTCATTTAATATTTCGCGATATAGGTACTTAATATGACTTGTCGCTCTAACAGATCGCTGTCTACAACGTGACGGCCATTTTTTTATTGTGCCTGGCCCTACTAGTCGTTATTGTGCTTGAAATCTATAATGATGGATTCAACATATGCTTTCATTTTTTTTTCAATCCATATTTTTCACCTCCGAAAATCACGCTTGAGTTGTTCACCAGATTTGAAGGGAAAATTTCGATTACAGAATTATTGTTGAAGAAGTTTAGTGGATTACGCTCAATGTAGAGTAAGAGATTAGCTGTTTCATTCTTTGAAAAACGATCCTCCAGTTTTATAACCAGCACGATCGCATTTCTAATGAATTTAGTTGATTCTTCTGATATCTGAACGTTAGAGGATCATTCACTGATCTAATTGAGATGAAAAGAATGATCAACTGCATAATAGTGAACACAATTAAGTAGCAGAGTGATGAAACAATCCGAATTAACGTAGAAATTTTTTTAAGGCTGATGGAATTTTCGCATAAAAATTTCAACAAAGTTTTCATTTTTAAAAAATCATTGCCAAGATAATGTCATGAATTTTATCAGTTATTCAAATATCTCGTTAATAAAGCATTTTTTAATTTCCCAGAAAAAATCTCTTGTGGTATTTTCTACTGAAATTACTTGCAACCGAGATAAACCACATTAAACAACATGAGTTATACAGACTGGAATTATTCCATCACTCCTTCTACTAAATCGAGAATTACGCACTTGATTATCCAATTTCGTCAATGTAATCTCGAGAAATCCAACGTGACTCTCGGTGTGCTTGATTTCTCCCTCATAATTTGCGTATAATGTCTTTTGATGCGATTAAGAAAAGCAGAGAATACGACGTTGTTTTCCTTTTTAAAATTTCTTTTTTTAGTATGAAAAGCGTCGGTAGGACGAGAGAAGTCAACTGAGATTATCGAGATGTGCACCGGGAAAGATAACTTTAATATCCACTCGTAAACCCTCACAATACTCAACTACTCGAGGCTTTTTACACAGCGCTCATGGAAATAGACAATTTTTTTCCCATCTACATTGGCTGGTTATTATTCTCAATCTCTCAGCATTTACCATTGTCAATACTCTTCCTTCATACCTCATTTAATGACGAACGTGACGCAGTATAATGGCACACAGCATGGCAGTTGCAACAATATACTTTAATAATTTTTATTTTCATTTGTTTTTTTGTTATACCTTTAGCCTTAATCGATAGAACTTATGAGTTTAAACTTAAAGGCTATTTTTCTCATGTACCTCTCCTCTCCTCTCACTCCCCTCCGAACTTCAATTCACGTTGTTCTATTGGTTTCAACTATAACTTGTTTTTCTCCATTGACATGATTTAATTAATTGTTTGAATTATCATCAATCCCTGGAGGGAGTTCTCATAATTCAATCGTGAATCTGATCGGAGGCGTGCTGACTCCATAGGCGAATACTTTGGTTCAATTATAATAATAATCTTCATTTATCATTCCACAATCCTCAACATATCGTTCCATTAATGTTAATAAATATGTACACGCGAGTGCCACTTATGGACCATTTTCATGTTTTTTTGCTTTTTCATCGATTAAAACTCTGACGATACAATTTATTCACTAATTAATTAAATAATATCTTCACAGTTGATAACTTATAAATAAATATGTTCACGCGAATTTGAATTCTTATTTACTTGCTTAAAAATATTAATGTAGCGATAACACGTAGAAATTGTTTAGTATTTGGTTTTTGCATTTTTTTAATCTGTCTCATTGTTTTTTTGGTTTTCATTTCCCTCTCACACTTTCACTCGCTCTCTTTCTCTCTCTCTCTCTTTCATTATTAACCTGTTTGTTCTCTGGAGAATAAAAAAACGTTTAGGATCCAAGTCCAAAGCCATAAAAAGTGCGAATAGACTGCAAACTACATTTGCATGCCATATTTCAATTATTAATCATTTTCTTCATTTTGTTCCATTTTTAATTGTTATTCACATAAAAACATTCGTTAAATACTAAACAGTCGAGTCGAAAAATAATCGTTACAGCCCTCATTTGTCCCGAGGGAGAATCGTTATACACACACTGCGGTGGTGAATTATTGATTTATTTCAATATTTTTCATTAACACCAATATCCACCGCTGTTAACGAATTAATTATATGTTTCAATAACGAGAAGTGTTTTTGTATTCAATTGAAGTAATCCGCCAATTTGTCATATTTATTATTATTTTCTTTCAATTTGACTTAATTTTTTACGCACATTCATATGGAGAAAATTACTTAATATTTTTTTGGTTTCATTAATCTCATTTCGTTTAATACTAATAATTACTCATCTTCATGTAATACCATTGTCGTCAATTATCCCTATACGAGGAATAATAGCTCATCATCTATAACACGGTGCACTGAAACTCTGAATTATCCTCAGACAATAATAATAATGAATAATACAGCATTTTAAATTTATAGTATTTATACGTGTCAACAAGAAAATTCAATTCGTTACTTTGTTCATTTTCTTTATATTCATTTCTGTTAAATCCTCGAACGTATGAAGGAAGTTCTTCTGCATTCATTGAAAAATCATTCGTCGTTAACAATGTGCTTCTTTTAACGTTTTATATTCACTTCTTTAGTTTTATTATTTTAATTTACTTTGTTAGCTATGACATAACACGATGATATAGGCTTGATATGACGGTGGCACGTTTTAAATAAATAAAATTGCCCAGCGAACAACCCTGTTGTCGCGATCTTAATTCTTCATTGATTTTTCTCTCACAGTTATAATTTTTAATCTGTAAAACCACATAAAACAGCTAATTTGCATAACTACTATCTTATAATCCCCGAATAAATTGTTTTTCTTTCCACTTGAAAGCTATCAATTTTCTCCCACCATTTACGTCCTCCCTATAGCTTGAATCAACTTTCGTTTTATTTTTAATTATTTGTTGGTTTCTACTTGAAAATTCACCGACGGAAATGTGTTCATGAATTCATCATTTCGATAAATCTTTGGCTCTAACAATTTATTGGATAGACAAGCCATGATTTCGTTCACATTGAATGGACAATATATCTTCAATTTTTTAAATAATTCTCTCGATAAATATTTCCCGGGGATGAATTCAATCTGAATTATTGATACAAGGTGGCAATAATCAGTAGATACTCGCATTATTCGAATTTTAATCTGATGAAACAATGTGAAGGGGGGTAAATAAATTATTTACAAAAATTTGCATAGTTAGTGCCTCGGGTAAATGGCCTTTCCACATCATAACACTTTAAGCATTTCAACTATCGCTCTATCCCTAGAACTTGATCTAAATTAATATTTTTCACACATGGACCGTCTAACCATCACAACTAATTCACTCCTACAATTTTGGCATTTGAAAATAAATAATCTCATTGATTTTAGAACCGCAAAACAAGACCTATAAATATCACCTAAAAATTAAATTCCATCTGGCTTCGCATTATTACAAACGATATTATGAATATCAACGATTAGAGGGATCCCTAATTACCCGAGAGCGCACTGGCGACGACAGATGCATACGAACGGTCATTATTGTCAACATGATAAACGATTCAGCACCTTTGTCCATAAATCCTCGAATTAGCAGATTAGAGCTGTGTTTTACATTACAGAAACATCTCATTCGTAGTTATCATCATTTCATTATTACAGAAATATTGCAATATTACATTAGAATTTAATATTCGTATCATAAATCTTTGACTTCACTTAAACCCTCTTATCTCGCCAATCCTCAATCCTCATCTCCCTCTAAACTACGCTAATACACTGCGGTTTATTCCTATACATGTACAACGACGATCTTTGGACCCGTGACGAGAAATCCAAATGAAATTAATTTGTCACAATAACGTCTTCATCACTCCTCACTCTTCTAAATCTCATCTAATGCAGTTACACAATTTTCCCTAATTTATCCTCATTTTTTTGTTTCGTCCTAGAAATTCGTTCGATCGATATAATTTCCCAGGAGGAATTGTATCCTGTGGATCCAGATTTGTCAATTAGGCTTAGATTGTTGTGATCCTGGGGTAAATTTCAAATAATTGATTGGTATCTCGCAGATTGCAAGTGATATATTTTCTTGGATAGATTGGAGTGACTAAAAAAATTGACGAATTGATACGAGCCGAGGCCACTGACAGACAAAAACTTCCTCCTTCTCAGTTCACTAATCTTCGCCGTTGAATTTAATAGCTTTCGAATAAAACCAGATGATTGAAACTTTGGGATGATTGATTATGCGACAGAGACCGCAAACGAAAAACAGAATTGCTTTGGGATGTCGTTCATTACTCGCATGCGCGCACGATGAAGCACGAGGGGTCTGGAGAGAGTATTCCAAGCGTTTGACTATTTATCTGACCCTTATCTCCAGATGTTCACCGCATTCTTTGTTGAGTTGACTTTCTGAGAAATCAAAATGTTTTTCGAGAAGTTACAGGGTTGTCGACTGTTAAGCTTGATTCACTGACAGAAAAAAAAGATTTTACTAAGGTAATTCTACTTGAGCCAACCATTACTCATGCAATTATCCCCCAAATGAGTGAATATGCAATTTCTTAGCGCCAACGTAAACTGCCGAAACCGGGTAACCGTCCCGAGTCGAGTGTCAAGCTATTGCCAAAATTCAAATACATTGTAGAATGTTCAAGTGGTCGAGGGTCTATCGGTGACTCCAGACGTATCGAGACGTTGCTCGACAGGAGTTTAATCAATGTTGTTTTCTCAAGTATCATTTTGATTACGATTTCATGTATTACTTTATGTTACAATTGAAAGTGCGCGATCGATTTGATAGAGATATTATTGCTAACGAGTGAAAGAACAACAACCCTCACAAACTGAATAATTAAAAATGAGTCAATTCGATTCAATTCTCGATTATTAACAAGTGAAAGCTCTTTGAAAAATGCATTTCTATTGTATAAGTAGCGAAATAATAATTTTTCACTCAAAAAATCACACTGAAGATGAATAACAGAAGATATAGTCTAAGCTCCACCATTTACTAATATTTGCAAATATTTAATTGAATATTTATTTATTTAGGCGATAATTGCATGAATAATAGCGATTTTCGGCCATTTTCAATGCTGGTTTCAATGAGAAAATTGAGAACCGCCAAACTGCAGCGAAAGACAAACTGTAATTGGCGCCACAATTTTTGATATTTTATTGACAACCGACAGTGGGTGACCGGATTCCCCCCTCCCCTCCTCGAAAAAAATTCCCGGAATTATTTTACCGGAATATTTTCCCCTGAAAATCACCGAAAAAAAATCTCCAGCAAAAATGGAAAATGAACATATTATAATTTTTAACTTTATTGTTAATGTTGGAAAGTATTCTGGTTACTCCTTCAAGTTACACATGACATTACATTATTCAGACATTAGCAAGTTGGAACAATTTCCCCTGAGCATTGTTTATTGATGTTTTAGTAGTGTAAGATGATGTTTTGTTGAATGTTGTCAATGTTTTTTTTTTATGAATCTGCGACTTTGTAGGACGAGAATGCTTGTTAATGAAGATTCATTGATTATTGGAGCAAGAGATTAATTCGAATTATTTGGGGGAATTGGTTCGAAAATGTTGACAATTAATTTATTGCAGTAACGTAATTTATTTATTATTGATCTATTGAAAAAGTTGAATTCTCATCTGGCGTGTTTTCGAAGATTGAAGGATGTAATAAATACAATTGACGTTGGTAATGTGTTTGTGTAATTGTGTTTCACATTTGTAAGGGGAAATAATTCCGGGAATTTGTTTCCGAGGGAATTTTTTCCAGGGGAATTTTTTTGGTGGGAAAAAAATCCGGGAACCCTAACAGTATCTTCCGAAAAAAAAAATCTCAATAAAAATTAATTTTTTTTCTATGAATGTGCTTGTAAAATTGCATTCACCCGTCTCCGTTCCCATGCCCATTAGTACTGAGTGGTCGGGAAGACACTGAGGCACTCTGAGGAGCATCGTGGTTATCTCCCTCCAACACTCGAATACAATCGAGGTCCTCCTCTTTTGCGAGTGTTGGCTCCAGAATTCTCGTGAGGAGTGGAGTTGATTCGCCGCTTGAAGTGGATTCCTCCTCTTCCTCAGACAGTTCCATACATCTTCTATCCTGAGGATGAAAAAAAAGTTATGAACATTAGGTTTTGTTTATCTGAGATGTAAAGTTTTATTAAAATTGTAATGCTCAACCTCTTGCTTCAGCCTCTCCAGCAATCTCTCCTTATCCACCTTCAGCTTCTCCGCCTGATCTGCCTGGGCTGCATTCTTTATTCCTGATAGCTCCAATAGCGCCAGATGTGCATCCTTCTCCGATAAGGCAGCTTTGAGTGCTTCACGTCTAAAAATAGAGATTGATTGTGAATGGCATTAAAAAACTATCAATGGCGACTTTAAATGCAAATTAAAGTGCCTACTTCAAGTGATGAAGGTCTTTGAGTTGGACTATACGTTCGTCCGTTAAACGCTCGAGTTTCTTCTCGCACTTGGAGAGTTTGGACAGTAAGGGCCTACAAGTGTGGCACTTCAGCGCCGAGGCGGATTGCATCGATGCTATTCTCTGCTCTAGTTTCTCCACCTGATGAATTGTAAAAAGATGTTTAAAGCTTTTCGTAAATTGAATTAGTTAACAAACCGAGTTCATAAACTCTGTAATCCGCCTCGAGGGGCTACAAGCGATTCATATATAAAATTTTGAGTGAAAAATTAAGCTTGCTGAAATGTCGGGGAGCCTGCACGGAGAATATAAAATTAAAAATTACGGTGTGAACGTAGTAGTCGAGGACCGTACCGGAAAAACTTAGCAATTTGATATATTTTAATTGAACGTTTGCGATGTGGAATTCATTTACGATTTAGCATAGTAATTTTTAACGCACGCAAAAGTGTTGAAAACGCTTTCTTTTTTTTGTGAATTTTCACTATTGAACGAGAAGAAATTACTCAAATTATACGAATTTTTAATATGTTAAGGTATATTCCTAGAAAATACGTTTTTCACAATCGAAGAGTCAAGATATAAGGGTCAACTGTAAAACTGTACCTTTCGCGACCCTACCGACAAAGAACCCATCAAATGTCTTTTCGAAGAATGAAAGAATACCGATCAACTCAATTTCTTTTCATGACTCCCGTTAATTCCCGTCAATTCACGTCCCGTAAGGGGTTAAGAATTACTATGTTCCCACAGTAAAAATAATTTTATATCCTTTCCGTGCACACAGAGAGAAAAATTCAATAAAAATTATCAGAAAAAAACGTAAACATTACGTTTCGAAACGTAATTCGCGAGCGAAGTTAAATTCAATAAAAGGTGGGAGTCGGAACTGAAATAGTACGAATCGCCACGTAAATTCTACGATTTGTTCCGTAAAAATTAACCACCCGTCTGATGACTCACCGCTGTGCGGACAACAAGTCGTTCCGTAATTTTTCCCCAATGATTGAGAAATTTTATAGATTGGAAAGTAAAAATGACTCACGAGTTTCATAAAAATTGTTGGATGTTCAAGAATTTTTGATTTTGAAGGCATAATAAGTCGGGAAGTTTCTGTAAGATTTTACTTCGTTGGGAAAAATGACGTCACAAATTCGTTGTTGGTTCGGTGATGAACCTGAAAATTCACTGAACGTTTCAGATTTCTTCTCTTCCATTCCTATAAAAATTGCCGGAAAACGATTCCCCATTGCGGATTACGTGAATTGTTCCGTAATTTTTCCCCAATGATTGAGAAATTTTATAGATTGGAAAGTAAAAATGACTCACGAGTTTCATAAAAATTGTTGGATGTTCAAGAATTTTTGATTTTGAAGGCATAATAAGTCGGGAAGTTTCTGTAAGATTTTACTTCGTTGGGAAAAATGACGTCACAAATTCGTTGTTGGTTCGGTGATGAACCTGAAAATTCACTGAACGTTTCAGATTTCTTCTCTTCCATTCCTATAAAAATTGCCGGAAAACGATTCCCCATTGCGGATTACGTGAATTGTTCCGTAATTTTTCCTCAATATTTCTCTCTGTGCAGGTCAGAGATCAATTACTGAACGTGATACCCTAATTAATTCTTAGAAAATTATATCTTACCCGTTCGAAAGCGTTTTTCCTCGCCTTCTCGATCATTTTAATTCTCCTCTCGCTGTCACTCGTGATTTTAACGCTTCCCCTCAGCGCCTCCTTCAAATCCTCATTCTTCTGCTTAGCATTCTTCAAGTCTTCCTCCAATCGATTCTCTTTCTCCTCCTTCTCCTTTATCACACCCAGCAGTTCTTCAATTTGTTCCAGATCAATTCTCTCGCCAAACGCTCGCTCTAATGAGTCGATTTCATCTTCAAGCTGTTGAACCCTCTCATCTCGAACTCTAATCTCTTCTTTCAGAACTCCTATATCTTCGGCCTCATATTCCCTCAATTCTTCCCTCATACTCGCCATATCTTCCTTCATCTTCGCCACCTTATCCTGCCACTCCACGATTTCTTGCTCACACCCCTGGAGCCGATTGTCTTTCTCGGATATCGTGTGCTCCATCTCCTTCATCTTCTGGTCTTTCTCAACTAACGTACGTTTGAAGTAGTCGTTTTCAATTTCTGACTGAGAATTTCCCGTGATTCGCAGGGATTCTCGTCTCAATAAATCCTTCTCTAGGCCTTCGATTTTCTTTGATAATTGATCAATCCTCTCTTCACGATCCTGGAGCTGTTGCTTCAAGGCATCAACGTTGTGGCTCTTGACGTATTCCTCCAGATGGGTCACCATCTCTTCCAATTCCATGATCCTTGTTTTTTCGATTCTTACGTCGCCGTTGCGTTCAATCCAATTTTCCAGCTCTCGAATTCTCCTGTCCCCCACTGTCACTCGAGCCTTGAGATCTCGAAGCTCCTTGACGTCGGGATTTTGTTTCAGAAAGTCTTCAAACTCCGCTATTGTGTCCTCCAGGCTCTCAATTTTTTCGGATTTTATTTGAATAATGTTACGGAGATCTGCAATTCCTTCATTGTCTGAGTAATCTCTCAAGAAGTTCTCGAGAGACATAACTTCCGCCTCCAATTGACGAATTCTGTTGGTCTTGATATTCTCTGCATCTCCATTCGTATTCTCGAGACATGATGGATGCTCGTGCTGCATATAGCGACGTTTGCAAGCGCACGTGACACACAGGTTTTTTTTAATAAAAATAATAATAGAATTGAAATAAATTGTGAGGAACATAAAGTAGGAAGCATTCGGGTTATTCGCACTGTAAAACGACGAAGTGTCTCTGAATGGTCGCGCGTAATATTTTCAACTGCCACTCTTATTCATCTTCCACTCGTCCCAATTTGTTTTATATTTCTTCTGTTTATATATAACTATTTATATACGTGCATATCATTTTTTGTAACCATTACACATACTCTCGCGATCAATATTTCGTCCATAAATTAATAGTATTTATAACTATATTAAGTTTTATTGTTGCCGTTGATTTGTTTGTCAGTTTTATTCAATTTTTGTGGTTTTGTTTAATTCTTCAAATATTTAGTTTTCATTCGTTAATGTATTCATTGAATAATTCATCATTACTCCAGTTATTTTATTAGCTCAGTTAATTATCGTTAGTATTAATTGTTCAATTATCGTCACTAGTTACTCTTATTTTATTTTATTAATACGTTAACAATGGTCGTAGCATTTCACGAAAAATCAATATTCATTTCAATTAAGTGTTCACCCTCAATTCGATAACTCACAGTTGTTATTAACGGGTTTGTTTAATATACTCGACGAACGGCTCTTTTACATGAGTTCATGCGATTATGAATTTTTTCATCACTCTTAACTGGCAAATTGTACTAAAAAGAATGGAGGAGGCGTCCCCAACGTGTAACGACCTTAGAAGAAGCTTTTCAAGAATCCGGCGGGTCCCGCCTATTGTTTTACGGTTCATAGCGTTCAGAGACGGGAGCAATTCAGAGGGCAGGAAAGAATGAAGTGCAGGATGGTTAAAACAATTAGATGTTTTACGAAAATGATAAATAATGGATCCGAGGTAAGCATGGAAAGAAGAGAGAAATTTCGTTAGTTAATTTGATTTTTTTAGTAATGGATGGGTTGGAAAAAGAAAGACGAACCTCTTGTTGCTGTGCAGCTGTTTGTTTCAACTTGGCTTGTGCGGCTTTCAGTGCTCTACAGGACACAAATTTAATTAGTCCCTCGAACGAAGTTAAGGAGTGAGTCGGAAACTATTTGAGATAAGAAAACTTACTCTTGCAAATCTCGGATTTGTTTCTCCTTCGAGTTTTGCTCTTCTTGTGTCATTTGCACAAGTTGAAGTAGTCTTTCGGTTTCGGCGGCGCTTCTTCCAGCATCTTCCTTCGCCTTTTCCAGTTGTTGCTCGGCAATCTCCAGGGACTTTTGCATCTCTGCCAGTCTTTTGTCCGGCGACCCACCGCTCTGCAAACGAAATGAATAATGCTCGTATTGACGGAGGAATTGTGTGGAATTTAATGTATATCGTCGAATCAGCACGTATGAAGAATTGAAATGTTTGAAGGGCCATTTGTTTCAAGAGTCAGACGTTTTCAAAGTCAATCATCTTAAGGCGTAGAAATGTAGTGGATGCAAAATTAAAAATTAAATTTCTACGGATTCATTCGGAAGCTTACTACCAACGGAATTGGTAGAAATAAAAAATGAAAAAAAAAAATAAAAAAATAACGCATCGAGTAACGGTTACATGCCTTCTGACAGAAGGGCTCGGCCGCCTGCTTGTTTTCTTTTTCAAATTCTATTTACAGACAGGGGCCAGTCGCAAATGAATTGATTATTCTCTTTTCTGAAGGAACAATTCTAGGATGGGATTCATTGGTAGCCATCAATCAATGATGATGAGTTTCATTAAAAGTAATAATATAAGAATTTAAAAAGATGTTCATAGCAACTAAATACAAGTTCACAGAAAAGCCAAAGTTCATATGTAAATAATACTGGAATGGAGTTGTGTAAATAATCCAACGATGGATTAATACTTATCAATAAAAAAAATGATGATGAGACCCTTTTAAACTCATTTCTGATACTCATACTTTTAATATTTATTTTGAAAATGGTCTTTTCTTTGTTTCTTCTAATTACACATATCGGAGTGATTGTCACCATAAAAATATGGGGTTCTTTATAAACAAATTTTATTTTATTGTATCTTCTATTCTGTAATTTCCATGAACGAAATGAACGAATTCTTTCTCTTGCTAATTTTCTCCTTTTCAATTAGTATGATTTTTTTGTTTGCAACAATCTCAATCCTTCCTCTGCCAATCGCCTGAACTATAAAATGTAAAAACTGTGTGGCATAACTTTTCAATGGCCTCGCTACTTTCTCACAGCTCTTTAAAACAATTATCTCCAAAAATAAAACGAATAATGAATAAACATTAAACTTTTATAGTGGTAACTGAACTTATCCTACAGTACCCGCAATTCATCTGCGCTTGAATCGAGAAAAATTACTATCCGCCTTGCATTTCAAGATATTGCTCAGAAACTAATATCGTTTCACTATTTGAAGAATTTTGCTCGCGTGTTTTTACCTTTTGAAGCTGTTGCTCCAATTGATCCATTTTTGCTTTTCGCTTCTTAAGGTCTTGATCGAGGTTCTGGAGCATCCTCTCCTTCTCTTCGGCAGCCCTAAATCTACTCTCCGCGTTTTTAGCTCGCTCCTCAGTCTGTCTCTTCTGCTCCTCCAACTGACGTCTTTGATCATCAAGTTGCTTTCTCTCCTGACTAGTGTCGACGCCAGCTTTCGCTGCGCCAGCTTGGAGTTTCTTGTTCGCCTCGTGAAGATCGACCTGTGATTCACAATCATTAGTTACCATCCAGATGGATATGCAAAGTACGAATAAACTACAGAAATCGTTTAATCGCAAGCCTCATAATTCGTTCACCAAGATGTTGAAATAAACAGAAAAAAAATTGATGGAACAGATTGAGCGATGATTATGCTGAACAATCAATGAAACCCTTCATCTCCATAATTATTATTAGGAATTCAAGGTCATGGGGTATTGGAGAAGACAGTAAACTGTACTGTTTTATTATCAATATGCAACGTTTCGCTTGTAATTCAAGCTTCCTCAGGCCCTTGACCGTTAAGTAGGGGAGAATGGGGCAAAATGAAACAGTCGAAAATACGACGCAATTCGAGTAAAAAATTTTTTTTTCATCATCTATTTTTTTTATTTTTGTTTATTAACTTTCTTTTTATGATTGGGAGTACTGATTAGAATAATAATTTTCCATTCAGTAGAATAAAAAATTATTGAGAAGTTTTGACGAGAGAATATTTTGTCAATGGATTAATTGAAAAGAAACTGAAACAGAAAAATCCAAAATCTCGAGGAAGGCTCAGATTGGGAAAAAGCAAAAATGATACTGAATTTCAATTGAATGAAAAAACAAGTGTAATCGGCCCAATTTAATCAACTGAATTGTAATCAATTGAATTATAAGATGAATAAAACATTATTACTCTCGTCATAATAATGAATAAAACATTATTACTCCCAATAATAAAAAAAGTTGATAAACAAAAGTTAATAAAAAAATAGTACATTACATGCCCGAGCCTTGGAAAACAGATCACCGTCCCCCACGTGCAAGATTGCTTTCCGAGCCGAAGGCGAGGATGGCAAGAACGTGGGGGAGGGTGATATAAATGAACAATAATTATAAAATCAGACTGTCATCTGTCACTCCAATCAGTTATGATTGACTGATGTTTCGTCGCGTATTGACAACATACAACAGTTTATTGTTTTCTCCAATACCCCATGACCTGAAATTCCCAATTATGCTGAACATTGGTAAACATAAATGTATAATCTTAATAGTACAAATGAAAAAAGAATAACAATAACAATAATAATAATAATAATAATAAACTCGCATCGCAATCATAAATCGCACTATCCAACAAAACATAATTTGCGTGGTGACATAAACACACTCACACAGTACATAAAAATATGAATATGTACAGTAAAAAAATTATTGCATGAGGCTATAAACGTAACGACAATTATAAAACTGAATAAATGGTAACAGTATGAACCATAGTATTGATCAATAACAATGACAAAATTCAAGACTACTTAAGCTACATTCCCAGTCGAGAGTAAAGAGCTTCCATAAATTATCCCCTTTGAAAGCCTCTTCCAACCCCTCAGCTCTTTACTCCCACTGCAGTGCGTTTCGTAGAAAATGAGAGCCAATCCTCCAAATATGATGTGGAATATACATTAAGGATCCTTGGACAGTGAATAAGAAGGGATTGACAAAGTGGGCACGTGAATAGGATGAAAAAACAAATTGCGTGCTGGCCGGTAAGCCGACAAATGACGTAGACGATGATGATGAAGAAGCGACGACGTGGCGTGGACGATGAACATCATTATAATACAACATATTCATGTGTGACAGACAGAGGAGAACACAAGACGAAAAATGTGCAGGCGCGTGTGCAACCAAGATGGTGAATCAATATAACAATATATTGCATGTATAAAGAAAGATTTTTTTCGTTGAGAATATTGCAGGTGATTGGATAAGAGAGACTCAATGCCGCTGACACGATACAGAGTGGGCTTTTGCTCAGGCCAGGCATTATCTTCCTAACCTGATTTTTCTCGAGCTCCTGCACCAGCATCTCGAGCTGAGATTGGAAGCGTTCGCGCTCAACGGTTGCCTGCTTGATCTCCTCTCTGGCACGTTCGAGGTCCTTGCGCAGTTTAGCAGCCTCTTGGCCGCCGCCATTCTGCTGCTGTTGCTGTTGTCCCTGCTGCAGCATTACCTGCATCTGCTGAATTTGCTGCTGCTGGGCGTGTATCTGTCGCTCGGACGTTTGAATTCTCTTCTGCAGCTCGTTGGCATTCTTCTCCGCGTTGTCTGCCCGTTGTTTTTCCGTCTCGACGAGCTTTCGCCACTGCTCTATCTGCGCTTCGTTGGTCGCCGAGGCTCCCGCACTTGCCAGCTGCATCTGCAGCTCTTGAATACGCTTCTCCGCGAGTTCCGCGCGCTGTCGCTCCTTGGCCTGCTCCTGGGTGAGACTCTGAACTTGTTGAGTGAGACGTCGCACTTCCCTCTGCTGCGCCTCGAGGGTCTCCTTGACGGCACGATCGGGCGTTCCCTGCTGCTGCACCTGCTGCAGTCGTCTGACTTCTTCTCTCTGTCGCTCCAATTCTGCCTCGCTTGTATTCAACTCCTGCTGGAAGTTCATCAGCATGTCCTGAGACTTCTCCAACTGAATCACCAGCTGATCTCGCTCCACCTGCAGCTGCTTGTTCTCCGCCTCCAATTTCTCCCTGAGTTTTTCGATCTTCTCCGAGTGCTTCTCGCGATTCTCAAGAATAGCTGCCAACTTGTCGCGCTCACGCAGCGCCAACTGTACGTCATGCTGAAGTTTCGCCAGTTCCTCGTTACCAATGACCTGTTGCTGCTGTTGAATTCTTCGAATCTCCTGCCTCAACGTATCACGTTCCTCTCGTACCATCGTTAGTTCATTCATCACCCTCTCGTACTCCTTCTTGGCCTCTTCAGCGACCTCCTGATGCTTGGCCAACCCCATCTGCGACTTCTCGAGTTCTTTGGCAAGTCTACCAGCTTCCAACTCCACCTGATCCCTGGCCACAATGGCCTTATCCAAGCTCGCCCTCAGCCTCTCGACTTCGATACTCGCACTTTCCGATCTCGTTTTACCCTCAGTCTGCATGAGCCTTTCTAGTCTAATGATTTCAACCCTCAACTTCTCGTTATCCCCCTCAAGCGCATCAGCCCTGGCTTTGAGTTTATCATGTCTATCTCGGATTTTCTCCGCCTCGATCTTCGCCCTCTCAATTTCGGATCTCATCTTCTCTTGATTGGCATTAGCCTTACTTGCTTCCTCTCTAGCTCTCTCAAGCTGCAGGTGGCTCTCGTGTAATTGAGCCTCTAGCTCGACGCCAGCCGCTTGTGTACGCTTCAACTCGGCCTCGCGTACTTCAAGCCTCTCCCTTACTTTATCCAGATCCTGCTGTAGCCTACTACTATCACTCTGCCATTTCTCTTGTTCGAACTGGTATTTACCTCGAACGCCCTCTGCACGCTCCAGATCGGCACGCAATCGCGAGGCGTCCTGCTCAGCCTTTCTCGCACGATCCAGCTCAGCGAGGGCCTTGTCCAGTCTGTCCCGCAGTCGTTCGACATCGAGTTTAGCGCGCTCGTGCTCCTCCTTCTGGCGCTCCTGGCTCTCCTGGTATTTACCGAATCTTGCTGCGTACCTCTCGCACTCCTCCCTCGCACTCTCCGCTTCTGTTCGCAGTCTCTCGGCTTCTGCCTGCGCCTTGCGCACCTCCGCTTGTTGTCTATCGTGCTTTTCGTACATCTTCTCGATCTCCATCTGCATTCGCTGGAGCTCGTCCTGGGTCTTCTCCGAGGTACCCTGGGCCTTGTTCAGTTGTGAATGCGCACGGTCCAGCTCGAAGCTTATTCTTTCGTTATCGGCGACGAGCTTCTCGCGCTCGTTCTGCAAACGCCGGAGTTCGATTTGAGACTTTTCGTATCGCTCGCGCAACATTTCGAGATCTACGCTCAGACGGTCCAGGTCCTCCTTGGATTTCTCCTCACTCTCTTTGGCGCGGCCCAGTTGCAGCGCTGCACGGTCGTACATCTCCTGCACTCGTGCCAGCTCCTCTTGCGCCTTCCGCGCCTCCTCGCGACTCTTGATTGACAGGTGCTGGTTCTTCTCCGTGTCCAGTTCCAAACGGTCTTTCTCGGCCTCCAGGACTTCTATGCGGTTTTGGAGACGGTACGACTCGCTTTGTGCTCTGGGGATAGAATTTTGGTGAATGTATGACTTACTTCGGTTATTGATGTTGTTAAGGGAAGGTTCCGAACTTTTCCGCTTTTCGAGGAAATACATGGAGAGAAATATTCAGGAAAAATTACGGAAGAATTCACGTAATCCGCAATGAGGAATCGTTCTCCGGCAATTTTTATAGGAATCGAAGAGAAGAAATCTGAAACGTTCAGTGAATTTCCAGGTTCATCGCCGAACAAAGTATGAAATTGTCACGTAAATAGTACAGCAATGGCGGTTCTGGCTCACTTTGACCTTGAGAAATGAGTCATCAAGCCAGAACCGAGGAGGGGGGGAGGGGGGCGAGAAGGTTCGGTGAGGAAGATGGGGCAGAACCTTCTACCCCCCCCCCTTCCGGCCGCTTCCGCGGTTCTGGCTTGATGACTCATTTCTCAAGGTCAAAGTGAGCCAGAACTGCCATTGCTATACTACTCACGTAATTCTTTCCGAAGAAGTAAAATTTTACAGGAAATTTCCGACTTATTGTGCCTCCAAAATAAAAAATTTTTGAACGTTCAACAATTTTTATGAAGCTGATGAGTTATTTCTACGTTCCGTTCCGTAAAATTTCTCAATCGTTGGGGAAAAATTACGGAACGACTTGTTGTCTCCACAGCGGTAAGTCATCCGACGGGTGGTTAATTTTTACGAAACAAATAGTAGACTTTACGTGGCGATTCGTAGAATTTCAGTTCCGACTCACACTTTTTATTGAATTTTACTTCGCCCGCGGATTACGTTTCCAAATGGCATTTTTCCTTTTTTTTGTAATTTTTATTGAATTTTTCTCTCCGTGTAGGATATTTCATCATTTGTGCATAAAGTATAAGTTTACGCACGCTCCGCGTGCCTAAAACATTGTGGTGGAAAAGACTCATATGATTTGCATCAGTCGCCTTCGGCTCGTGCTGCAAACTCATATTCGCCAAAAAAAATTTCATGCGCCCTAGTATCGAAATGTACTATTTTGTCATTCCAAACACTTTTACGCATTCATGTTGAAATATACTAATTTCGTTACGAATGCGTAATGGATTGTCATAAGGCCAAAAATAGTATATTTTGTTACCTGTGCATAAAGTTCCCCTTTTTCACACGCACGTGTAACACATCCTATTTTTTGTGGTAGCTGCCGATTTCACTGTTCGGTACGGTAATGGGGGAAATGTGGTTGCTTTTGTGAATTAGCGTTCACTTTACGCACGCTCGTAACTCAAAGCTGACTGAATTCTAATGAAAGTCGTCTCAACGGTAAGTAAGTATAATTTTAATTAAGTATAATTTTCAGTTACACAAAATTCAAATCTCCAATTTTGAGCAATCGGAGATAGTTTTCACCAAGATTCCAAACAAAATCCTGGGAAAAATTATAGGAAAAATAGTACTTGAAAAAAAATTTTCTCGAAAAATGAAGAATTTTTTTTTTGGAACCTTCCCTCAATGGGGTGTGATATGGGAACTGGAACTGGCTTACCTATCAAATTTACCCAATAGCTTTTCGAATTCTTTACTCGTAGTGTCACGCTCCTCCATCGCCTTGCCTAGGGTATATTGGGATTTATCGAGCTTCTCCTTGAGTATTTCAATTTCCGTGAGGGCATCGTCGCGTTCCAACTGCAGTAATTAAAGAGTCAGACCCAGGAATTTAGAATTTTATAGAGAAATTCCTAAGAGAATTGTGGTGAAGAATGATTAAAGACTCACAGTCAACTTCTGATGGGAGTTGTGCGCCTTTTCCCACCTGTCCTTAACAAGATCTAATTCGGAGAGTGCATTGTCTTTATCCCGCTGAAGCTTGGAGACCTCTTCCTGGAGATTGTCTCGTTCTTTTTGTAATCTTGCGACGATTATCTGTTGAAAAATCCCCGGAGAACGATTAGTACCACATAACCATGAACATAATCATCAAATGCATTCAATGGAAAGGTCACAGAATAGAAATCCTCACCTGTGCTTTGTCGTATTTATCTGTGAGTCGGTCATACTCGAGCTGAACTGCATCTTTCTCCTTTTGTATCCTTGCAGTTTGCCCCTGGGCCTTGTCCAATTGACTCTGCATATTATCGAAGTCGTAGTTCTGCTTCTCCTTCTCCATTTGCATCTGTGGAGGGCAGAAAGCACATCGATGAAGTCATTTAAGTAGACCATTCATAAAATAATTTGGCATTTGGAGACATGCCATACACAGAAAAACCTGAACGTAAATTATGTTTAAGAAGTAGTCCTTTACGCTTTTTGAAGCGTATTTTACGCGAAAAATTACATAAGTGTAATTTACAATTTCGTTCTCGTACATTACGGTTACAGAAACGATAGGAAGTGTTTTCTATGAATGTTTTTTATCAAAAGGTTGAATATCTCCGTGATCACGCTGTCGATTGCGCCTATCCAAAATATAAACCGTTAATAGTATGAGAGCTATAATCGTACCAAATTTTAACTTGCTATCACCATAATTCTCAAGTTATTCTCAAGTTATCGTGCGTATCCATCAATCATACAAAAAGATCCTATCAAATCCAAATTTTTGCCCATGTGTAATTATTACATAATTTTAAAAAAATTTCTCACATATTTTGTGTAAATAAATAACAAACCGCTGAGACCATCGTTTTTATAAGCCAATCTCTCATAAGTTATATGAAGATATATCGATTATAAAAATAAAAAACTGAACTTCATTTGTTCAGAAAACATCGTTGAATACCTGATAAAATCATTCAAATTTATGATACAGAGACAATCTGTCCACATTTGTGTATTTACATACGATCTGATGATTAGTGATTATTAAAAAATGTTTCAATACTGCATGTCAACGACTTTGAAAATTCTTGTGCAGTAAATGAAGTGTTAATACACCATGAGAGTAAACAGCGATACGCACAACGGCTATAGAAGAAAAGAAAATGGCAAAATCGGGAAGTTGGACAATTGATCGAGAGCCACATGTGGACAGCGATAGATCTCGAGGATTGTGTGGATCATGAAACCAATGGAATTGGTAGAAATGAAAAAAGAAAGAGTTATAACACATAAAGAAACGATCAGATGGCTTCTACCAAAAAGGCTCGAACCCCTGCTTGTCTTTAATTACAATTGACTGTCTAACCGGAAAAATTCGAACAAATTTGACTTTATCAATTGAAGTGTCTAAAAAACTATAGTAGTTTTAAAAACAAGCTATTTCCCAAAATTCCTAAAGAAAACAAATTACTTCGAACAGATGAATTATTTTTCCCATGTTAAATGAAATTGCCCATGACGCGACGTTGCCGGAAACTCGCTAAATGCGCTCGGGCAATGTAGAGTGAATTCGGCAACACTGGAGCCTAAATAACACGGCGGGGAATCCCCGCGCGTTTAGTGACCAGACTAGGGCTAATAAAATTATTTTCCAAAATACTCACACGACGGACTTCCGTCTGCGACTTATCGAGTCTCTCCTGCAGCTTGTCAGCCTCGCTCTGCGCTTTGTCCAACATGTTCTGAATTCTCTCCTGCTGCAGCTGAGTCTTACCGAGTGTCGCTTGTGTACGCTCTAACTCCTCTTGCACTTTTTCTAATTCTCCAACTGCCTTGTCCCTCTCAGAATGCAGCCTGGCGACAGTCGCCTGCGCCCTGTCGTACTCATCACGCAAGCTCTCTTGTTCAGTCTGAGCATTTTCCAATCTCGCCTTCAACCGATACACCTCACCCTGACTCTTTTCCACCTATCGTTCAATAATATCATCAAGCATCTGTCTTTATATTCGAAGAAAGGTAAAGGGCATTACACAGTATCGACCCACTGTCGCTTTTTTTGGCCGTTAGATATGACTCTGATGATTGATTCATGAGTGATGCTTTCAAACTTAAAAATATCAGGTTCCTTTACACCAAGGGAATTCTCGATTCTATCATAAATACACTCGAGACATGCAGCTACAGGTCAGGTTAATGAAATTCTCTTGACCCATTAAAAAAAGAATCATTTTGCATTGAAATACTTTCCAGTAATGCTTACAAAAATATTCATCTTTATTTTCTCACTCATTGTGTCCAAGTGAATGTCACAATGCCGTCGAAATAATTCGTAAATTTCTAGATAAAAAAAATGAAAAAAATAGTCTACCTTTTCTTGAAGGGCTGTGGCTTCGGCCCTCGCTCGTTCGTTATCCGCCTGTGTGACGCGCAACTCAGCCTGGGCTCTTCTCAGCTCAGTTGCTGCTTTTTCAGCTCGCTCATGAATTCTATCCATCTCTTGAGATGAATTTATCGTACTCCTACCGAATCCTGTTTGGGACTTTTCAACATCGTGTCGCAATCTCTCGTTTTCTAATTCAAGTCTTGTGAGCCGCTGTTTGGCTGCCTCCCAGTCGGCACCACTTCTACCCACCTCAGAGGCTGCTTTGTCCAACTCTGCTTTACTTTTACCTAATTCTGACTGTGAACTCTCGAGCTTTGCCTCCAGGCGATCCTTCTCTGCTTGTGCACGCTCCAATCGTGCACCCAGTTTTTCCACCTTAAATTAACAAAATTCTCGGGGTTTCATTATTCTTTAAAACTCAAATAGGAATGTTGACGCCTGGGTGGAATTCACATTTAAAAATTCCTGCTAGTTCTTGGTCTTTAATGGGAGTATGTGGTAATATTAGAATAGCTTCATCAACGAAGTTATTAAAAAACAGGCATTTCATTCACATTCACATTTTACTTCGAGGGCCTTTCACGAATTTGTACGAGAATTCTATTAAAAATACAATATTTTTGAGAAATTTTCATTTGAAATAACATTTTAATCATTTTTATTATTCATTGATTACTTTCGGACACATGGTATCACCGTTGCAGGAGTAAAGTGAACAAAAATTGAAACAAAAAATTAAATGGAGAATTTAGAAGCAAGTTATTTTTAAATATGTTTTGGCGCCATTTTGCAGGTGACCAATTTTTAGTCGTTTAGCTAAAGAGCAAGACTTGCTTAAGGGGAGACTACGCACGAAAAAATCTCTCTGTATTATGAAAATCCAAATCGACTTCTGGTGATGAAAATTTGGTACTTAAAATTAAAACTCCAAATTTAAGGGTCACAGTGATCGAAATAAGAGTCGTCGGGGTCAGATTAAGGGTCACAAGGCTCCGAATATCTCTCTATATTATAAAAATCCAAATTGACTTCTGGTGATGAAAATTTGGTACTCGAAAATAGGACTCCAAAATTAATGGTCGAAATAAGGACCACAGGGGTTAGAATAAGGGTTCAGGATCATGGGGTCATATGGAGGTTATATGGGGGTTGGCGAGCGGAGCGAGCAGGGGGCGTAACCTCCTAGTTGAGTAGAAAAACCTAGCGAATTGGTTAAATAACTCTGTTGCATTTCTATTCAACTTTCTATTAGTTTCTGGCCGATCCTATTGAGATGTTCAATAAAAAATATTCAATAGAAAAAGTCAATGAAGTTCGATTTTTGCATACAACTCATTCTATTGAGATATTTTCTATAAAATTTCCTCGGTTCAATTTACTATTTTTTTTTGATTGATTTTATTGATGAAAAGCAAAGAAAAATAGAATGAAAAAAACGTAGAAAATTTGAGCCCAGAAAATTCTATAGAAAATATCTCAGAATAAATTGCATCGGAAAAACGAATTCTACTGACTTTTTCTACAGAAAATTTCCTATTGCATATTTCAATAGAACCGGTCAAAAACTATTAGAATTTCAATAGAAATCCAATAGAATCGTTTAGAGAATTCGCTCGAATTTTCTATTGAATTTTTTCGTGCGTCTACTACGAGTTTTTAAAGTTGCGCGTTCTTGGAGTACCTTCATACCTTGAAAATCGATTATATATGTCTAAAAACGAATAATTAGTGAAAAAAATTAATTGTTTATTGTTCGTTTGAGCTAATTCGAGCTAGTTTTTAAAAATTCGACTGTTGCGCAGCTAATTTTGTTTTTTTTATATAAAAAATTGCGCAACTGATTGTATTTTATGTAAAATAACAAGAAATATGTTTTTGAAAGAATCGAGAATATATTTTTAAAGAATGAATGGTGCAATTTTTTATGTAAAAAAACAAAATTAGTTGTTTAGAAGTCGAGTTAAAAAAAACTAACTCGTAATGACTATTGTATTTTTTTTTAAATTTTGAAAAACATCTCTGTAGCTCAAAAATTTGAGGTCCTGGATTATTTTTAACAATTAACTTTAACAACTAACAATTAACGTTTTTGCACTCATTATTCGTTTTTAAACATATACAATCGATCTTCAATGCATGATAAATCTCACTCCAATAGCCCGTGAATTTTAAAACTCATAGTAGTCTCCCTTAAAATTTAAATTCATCTCGAAAGTTAGAATGTTCACTGGACGTCTTGCACCTTTATCTCGAAAATCAATGAAAAATCCTGCAAGGCCAGTATGCTACACCATTACGCGAATCTGCGGGTTAATTTTAATGAAAATTTCTCTCGTGTCACTGATTTTAATTAGCATATGTTAGAATATCAACTATACCTCAGACTCCAAAGCATGAATCTTCATTTTATATTCAGCTAATTCTCTCTCATGGAGTTCTCTCTCCTCCTGTTTTTCTTGTTCAGCACGATCACGCTGTTCTCTCAGCTGTGCCATCTGCTTCTCCTTGTCCCCGATAGCTTCCTCCAGGCTGCTCAGTGCGCCCTCGCTACTGCAGTGGTGTGCCTGCATCGCGGTCAGCCTTGCACGTGCCATATCCACTTGGTTGTCTTTCTCTTTCAGCAGATCCTCAAGGTTCTCAATCTGCATTTTTCAAGAATAATATTCCATTCAATCGCCCGATCGTTGATCGAATACAGTCCAGTCTCCGTATAAGATACTTTCGTACAAGATACTAGGCCTGAATCCGTGCCGAGTGATACCCCCACTTTCTTATTTGAAAGTTTTTCGTTTCGTACTCTCCGTACAAGATACTTGACAAAGGGGCTAGATTTGAGCGGGAACGGAGTTGAGATATTGCAGAAATTAGTGGAAATACATGCATCTATGATCTTGAACTTAAGGGGTAACAGAATGTCGTTAATTTGCCAAATTTTTGAACAGATTTCCTGGCTGAAAGTTTTCGATATTTTTACAAATCCAAACACATTAATCTCCAGGAAGTGATGATGAAGATCAATGTGCTTTGGGTTAAACAAATATTGATAAATTTCAGCAGGAAATTTGTTTGAGAATTTTCCGGGACTGGATTTTAGGCAATCACAGCGCAGTACTCGAGGGCGCGATACTCTTTTGTTATCAAATTTTTTCAGAAATTGCACACTAGCTTCTGGGAATTGCATCTGTTAATTGCATAGTAGCTATTCATTTATTTCTAATCAATTGGATGTTTTGCTGGAATAATAAACGAAAATTCTAGAAGCCCTCGAATACTGCGCTCCGCTTGGCCAAAATTCAGTCCCGAAAAATTCTCCGCCGAATACCTCTCGACCTTCAAAATTAGTCGCAATATTTCTCTCAAGCTTCCATGCAAACAAACAAAAGTATCAAGTTTTGCAGAAAAATCATGAGTAAAAATTGTAATGTGTAAAAATTTTTAGCCTGCGAAAATGGTCACTTTCATTTGTTTCCAACGAAGCTATCGGGAAATATTCCGATAATTTTGAAGGTCTCGGGATATTATAACTGAAAATTGCGAGGAAACGGTGGCTTTCTGTTATCCCTTCAGTGGAGACTACTATGAGGTGTAAACTCATAGTAGTCTCCAGGCTAACTGGAGACTACTATGAGTTTAGTAAATTACAAAACTCGCAGGCTATTGGACTGTGATTTCTCATACATTGAAATAGTATATTTCGTAACGAGAGCAAAAAAGTGTTTTTTGGCGAGTGGGAGGTTTATATCACGAGCCGAAGACGAGTGATTAATCCCACGAGCTAAAAAACATTTTCATCACGCTGTG